GGGAAGGGTGCTCAGTGTTGCAACCGAAACACACCCACTGCCTCTGAAAAATCTCTTTGGCCTCCGGTGGCGGTTTCTGAAACAGTTGGTTATTTTACCGATTTCTATAGTGACTGTTGCCTTGGCAGCAAAGGTCCTTGCTTAGAGAATAAAGCTTAGAGAATAAAAGCACTGTACAAACAAGAGGAAGGCATGAATCTGATTTGAGGAGACAGAGGTTTTCTTCAGTGGGGTTTCAAAGTGCTTGAAGAGGAGCTTGAAGAAGAACAGAGTGGTTGGGGGGAGGTCTCTTTTTTGCCGTTTTAAGTAAAGGCAATGTTAACATTAGAAAGGGACGTAGTGCAGGTGTAGAGATAAGAGGGAAGGCGTGTTAATCTGTAAACCAGCTCCAGGGTTGTGGAGCGAGGTTACTGCTCCCTGGACCCTGCAGCCATCCCAGACAAAGTCTCATGCTGCCTGCCCCGGGGATGTCTGTCGCTCGCTCCGCCGTGAGGCTGCGGACTTTGAAACAAAATCTGAACGAGTGACATCTAATGTGAACGCGTAGTTATCCTAGAGACAGAAACTTGCAGTTTTCCGCACCTTGCCCACCAAGTTGAGCGTGGAGGTGTAGCCGGCTGATGATTTTATTGCTCTTATCTTGTCCTTTAACCAAAGAGGTAGATGCTACAAACTTTGATCCTTATGCCCGACCGCATCTCGGTTGCAAAAGAAAACACATTTTAATATGCAAGGGGATGTAGTGTGCTCTCCAATACTTGGTTAACTCCCTGGGGTGACTGTGGTCATGGTCTTCCAACCCTCGTACGGGCAGATTGAAGTGGCGCTGGGCAGTACTCGATGTCAGGAAAGTGGAAGAGGATCGGAAAGTTTCGAGATAGCACTTTGATGTTTGCTGGAAACGGGGGAGAAAGGTCGCGTAGGCACAAGGAGATGGGGGCTGGAGCCCTTGCTGAAGTGATTTTGCCCTGCTTAGTCTTGTGGTGTGGGTATTTGGAGATACCAGCTTTATGCGGCATCGTTACCGGAGGGCGATTGGTGTTATGATAATCACGTCGTTATTTATAATTCCTTATCAGCCACAGGCTCCTCAGTGAAGCAGATGTGCTGCGGACGGAGGGAGGTTTTTAGCTGCCTGCCCCAGGCTAACAGCCCATGTCAGAGCTGGGGAGGCTCGTGTGTGCCCGTCCCCACGTCCCACTGGGGCAGTGGGACCAACTGATGCCCATTCTCGCCTTCTGTCTGTCGCTTTTGTGGACAGAAGGCATTTTATGGAAGCAAGGGAGGGCACGGAGGGCCGTTCCTGTCCCGTATCATTTCTGCGAACCTCACCTGGTCAAGCTTTCACGAACGCACAATAGGAAAAAGAGATATTTTTAATGTGACAAGCGAGAAGCTGTTGGGAAAGAAGTTTGGGTTTTTGTCTGTTTCTCCCCTGTTAGACAGACTGTGAAATGGAGACTTGAACGATAGGTGTTCACTAGAAATTTGAGATGTTTTTCCTCGTTTTAAAATCTCGACGGAAGTGACTCCACGGCCGATGTCCTTGGCAGAGTATTGTCTTTCCTCTAGCCTTTCTTCCCTGGAGTATCAGTTACTCTGCCTTTACAAAAGGGGCTCGGTAGTGATTTACATGTGAGAGCAGCGGGCTGGGATTGTGCCTGGCCAGGGCTGCGCTTCTGCTCCCAGAAATGTCATCCGGGAGGACTGAAGCTTTCTGTTCAGTAGCTTCTTGCTCCTTGGTGAGCCCTGTGCCATCGTTGCCCATCCATCCAGAAATCACAGAATCACAGAATTTGGGGGGTTGGAAGGGACCTCCAAAGATCCAACCCCCCTCAAAGCAGGATCACGAGCGTGTGCTTCTGTGAGATGGGATTTCTCAAAGTAATGAAGACTTTTAGGAGATATAATCTAGGAGATAAAAAGATTGCTCCACTTCAATTATATTCTTCTCTATGGTTTCTTTTAATAGCGTCACTGATGGCGAGTTTAAAGCCCAAGCAAGTTTCTGAACTGGTTGTAGGTTTTAGCAATATTGCCAAACCTTGCAGTTTACTGCAAGAGGCGCACGTTTGCATTTTTTGCCAGGTATCATGGGCTTACACCAGCATATTATGGTTCTCGTGTCAGTACCAGAGGAAGATTTGCAGCTGGCACCAGATTTTTGTTCTTTTAGGCTCCCCACAGAGCTCGTCTTAAAACCTACTAGTTTAGCCGTGGCCAGAGGAGGAGATGTGTGTGCAGAGACGTAATTGGAAGGTTGGCTGCAGGCTCCTGAACAGCGAAGAGCGCCCTTTGCACCACGTCTTCGGGGTCCCGAATTCTTCAGCGCGCAGGAGGCTTCCCCTGAGTTTGTCAGGGGCTGGACAGAAGGGCTGGTATGTCAGGAGGGTAATGGTTAAAAGCTCAGCTCTCCTGCTTTCTGAGTGGTTTGGGAAATTGTGATTCACTCACTCCGGTTTTAATATTGCCCCACCTCGTGGTGTACACAGGGTGCTCCCACATCTCCCACATCCAAAGCAGAACTGGAGAGGCAGCTGTTCGATGGCATGGGAGGATGAGGTCGTGTTGCAGACTAAGGTGGTGTAACAGGGTTGAAAAATAAATAACTTGGGTTTCATCGAGATTGTAAGGTGCTATCCTCAGAAACAACGATCCTGTGGAGAGGTCTGTTAGTTGTGAATTTGATGCCGTGCAGCTTCTGGAGCTGGATTTTAACCTGGGTTTTGACGCTAGGACAGGCGTGGAAGTGTGTGTTGCATTTTTTTCCACGTAGACACCTATCCCTTGAGCTGGCAGCTCTTGGTGCATCACTGGAGACTGCAATATTGTGGACATGAACAAGGCAATGGTGTTTCCGTCTCGTCCATGGGCAGCGGGCGAGCTGAGCCGCAGACGGCGGGAGGTGAAGTAGCTCAAGGTTGGCATCACCTTTAGTGCACGGGCTGAGGAGCTGGAGGCCGAATGATGCCAGCTCTCCCCGGTGTGGAGGATGGACGCGGGCTTCATGCTTGAGCTTTGTGCTGCTGCCAGACCCAGGAATTCAGGTGCCCTGTGATCGTGTGAGTTCAGTGAGAGCCAATGTGATGCAGAGCTGAGCTGCTCTCCTGCAGTCAAAGCCTTGGAGGAGTTTCTTATGTGGGTTAACACGCATAATTCAATCCATCCTTTTTTTTCCCCCCACGTTCTGAGCTGTGTAACTAAATGCCGATTTGCTAAACACAACTTGAATGATGAAGCAATCCACAGCTAAAAGCCTTCCTCAGTACATACTGAAAAAAAAAAAAAAAAGAAAAAAAAGAAAGCAAGAGCTGTGTCTGTCCTCAATTCCTCTGTTTTAAAAGTGCAGAAATTCGCCAGAGGGACTATTCTGTTTGCTTCAGAGACTTAGATACGTGCCTTTTTCCTGGCAAACAAGAGGTGTGCAAAGTGCTGCCGGTCCTTTGTCCAGAGTTTTTTCTTTTCGCAAGTCACCAGACCTGGTTCATTCTGTAGAGAAACAAGATAAGAAACTGTGCTTTGTGTTTCTTGCTTAGTTTAGAGGTAACGGGTCAAAAAATGTATTTATGTGCAGCGTGGTCACGTTTTGTGTAGGATTACAGCTCTCGAGCTGTTTTGCACCACTTCCACTCAAACCATGCCGGTGGTGGAGGTTATTTTGGTTTTCCTTGGTGGCGACGTTGCTCCCTGTGATGAAACACAAACATCTGGTAGCTTGTAAGAGGCTAAAAATATTCTTTAAGCTGATAAAGGCGTGATAAGGCGTTTGAAAATACGAAGTGGGGGTTTTTTTGTGTTTGTTTTTTTTCCTCCCATGCCGTTGCTTTATTTAGGTCACTTTGTGTTTACGATGCTGCAGCCTTTTGCGGGAGAGACCTGGTCCGCGGGACGGCAGACTGGAGACAAGGATTCTGGCTTTTTCCTCTCTTTGCTCTGGGGAAGTTTGTTCGTAGAATAAGCATCTTCAGACCTGGGACATTCACTGCCACATAATCGTTGCCTCATGCTGAGGATTTTACTACTCGTGTCTTAAAAACACAGGAAGAGGTTCCAGCAAGTAACATCTGTTTTCATGTAATTTTTGTATTGGAAGTGCCCTGCTTTTCTAAGCGATTTCTGTAATTAATTAGGTGTAGAAGTTATCTATTTCTCCCTTTTTTTTTTAAGCAAAAAAAAGTTTCACTTGTGGTTTTTTTACTTTTTTTTAGCTGATGACAAACATTTATTTGAATTGTAGCTGTATACGTTGGAAACCCTAACATTTACCTTGAAGAGCTGCTAAACGTTTGCTAGAGTTCTGCAAACCTAAATGCTTTGGTTTATTTTCAGGCTAGCCTGTTTGGACATTGATTTTTCCTTCTGCTGCTTTGGCCCAGGGAGTATAACCTTGCTTATCTACATCACTTTCTTTTTCAGTGTTGTTGAAAAGCATGTTCTGTGGTACACTAGGTATTTTTACCTCACGGAACAAGAACCAGGCTTTCTGTTCGGTAACTCGGCGCAACCCGTTGCGCTGAGAATAGCAGTCTGTAAGGGGGAGAGGAGGTTTGGGACGTGAATAATGCTAAACATTTGCCCTGGAGATCCTTAAATCCTCAAGTATTATGATTCAAGAGGAGTTTGGGTACTGAGTGTGGACCAGAGCTGCGTAATACTAGAAAACTTAAATACAGAGCGGGAAGGAGTCCTTCGCACAGCTGCCAAGTGGTGTTTACAATACAAAACAGTTAAAGCTCTTGAGAAAATCATAGGACAGCGCTGTGTGTGCAAAGCTAGAGCTCAAATCAGTTCGTCTTTTCTGTGCCAGAGTCTGGCTCCTCTTTTTGTAGTAATTTTCTGTTGAAAGGGCAATTGTGAGCTCTTGGTCAAGGCTACCCTGATGACTGGTCTTGGTTTGTTCTCCTCTCCAGGAAGAAGAATGCCGAAGCGAATATGAAGTGAACCCTTTCCTATGCTTGCCACAGCGCCCGGCTGATCGTGTCGGATGGTTAGAAACGGGGACTTGCCTCTTGCCAAACTGCTTCCTCGGACAAGATGAAGCCAAGGAGGAGCTTTGTGACGCGCCAGAATCGCAGTGACTGCTGCCCGGTTTAAAGCCGATGTCAGACCGTGCCCCGGCTGCCTGGCGAGATGAAAGAAGTGGTGTTGTGGTCACCCGAGGAGGTGACGAATTGGCTGACGGAAAATGCCGTGCCGGAGTATTGTGAGCCGTTGAAGAGCTTCACCGGGCAGGATTTGATCAACCTCACGGAGGAGGATTTTAAGAAGACACCTCTCTCCCGGGTGTCTTCGGACAGCGGCCAGCGGCTATTGCACATGATCGAGACTTTAAAAATGGCTCACCACATGGAGGCTCACAAAAATGGGCACGCCAACGGGCACATCCGCGTCGGCGTGAGCAACGCCCCGCGCGAGAACGGCTTCAGCAGTAAAATGAAGCTAAATGGGATGCCAAATGGATATAAGAAGGAGATGATCAAGATCCCCATGCCAGAGCCAGAGCGCTCGCAGTATCCTATGGAGTGGGGCAAGACTCTTCTGGCTTTTATTTACGCACTTTTTTGTTTCGTCTTTACCACAGTGACTATCTCCGTTGTTCACGAACGAGTGCCTCCCAAGGAGGTGCAGCCTCCCCTACCTGATGCATTTTTTGATCGCTTCGATCGGGTGCAATGGGCTTTTTCTATCTGTGAAATCAACGGCATGATCCTTGTAGGACTGTGGTTTGTTCAGTGGCTGCTCTTAAAATACAAGTAAGTAAAACCTTGTTGAAAACCAAGTGCTAGGGTATCCTTCTGACAGCTGTGGGAGTTCAGGTACTAGTGTGCATATAAAGAAAACGAAGCTTCTCATGATCTTTCTCAGTTGGGTTCCCCAAACTGAAGTGGGTGCTGTGCGACAGGGGAGCTGTGATTTGTGTGGGCTGCTTGTGCAAAAGGGAGGAGTTTGGTCCAGCTGCTCCCTAACAAACAACTGTGGTCTTGTTTGGCTGCACATTTAACTTCTGAACCCTTTTCGGGTGTGTAAAGCCACCAAGGGGAAGGACTGATGTTCCTGTCCTGTCCCCTTAGAGGGGGCACAGCTCACATGGGGAATATAGCTGCAAACTAACTTGGGATCGATTTAGTGTCTTTGAGTTTGCCTGATGGGGAGGCAAAGATTACGATACTCGTGGACAAAACCAAGGGGCAGCGGTTTAGTCCATGCACCTCAACAGTGCTGCGCGAAAAAGCAAAGTATGTTTTCTGATTGACATTGGATGGAGCAGGTAATGTCAAACACAAAGTATGTCACAAGGCAACCATAAAATATACAAAAAGCATAGATGTGCAGTGAATTTGCAAGGTCCTTGTGGTTGTCTGCCTCCTTACCCATGGTGTGGTCAGAAGGGCAAGGCTGAGTTTGCCTGTCAGGGGAAGTAACCCACCGCTTACCCTCGGCAGAGGGTGTGCGGATGCTCAACTTGTTTGTCCACACCTGGGACTGCCTTATCACACGGGTCTGATATAAACCCTTGTGCTACCGTGGCTGTGTACGAGGTGCTCCAAAGGCAAGAGGCCTTAAGCAGGATCGAGGTGGTTTATCACCTTCTCTTTCAAAAGCGTGTCCCCACAGCTGCCCCAGCCCGAAGAGGGTTCCCTCTTCTCCTCTGCTCCTACAACATCTCGTTCATTACCTCTTCACTGATTTTTTTTCTATGATTCCTATGTAGAAAGCTGAGGAAAAATGTATTTTGAGCCCCACCGTGTGAAATACAAGATCCTTTGGTTCACAGGACTTTGTAATGACCTTAGAATTACAGATTTCCCTGTTTTAAAAAAATAAAAGCAGAGGCTAGTGGATCGCTTGCCTGTATAATGGAGAAGAGCATTAAAACTTAAACGTAAGCATTTTTTCAGCAGCTTGGTAAGGTACAGGTGGCTTGAAAAGAAACTTGCTAAGCTGGGGCAAGCTACCCTTGTGGAACACAGCTGTGGGTTTCCATAAGGAAGGGGCAGATGTTTAAGTAATCTGCAAGACCGAGATGATGGTTTGTTCATCTTTTCTCCTGGTTTATCCTGCTTTATCTTAAAACTGGGGTATGCTTTTACGGAGGTGGCGTTCCTTCGAGGAAAGTTTTTAGAGTGGTTAATTTATTATTACGGTAGGGCCATAAAAACCTGACATTACTTTTCATTTGGTTGGTTGGTTTGGATTTTTTTTAAAGTGCGCAACTGTACAGGAGGAAAGATTTCATTCAGCTTGGCCTCTTGCTTTGTTTATGGCTTCTGCATCACTTTGGCACTGTAGCTGCAGTGCAACTACTCTTCAGCCCCACTCCCCGCTGCTCCAGCTGCCTGCGGTGAGCATGGGGGACCGTTAACTTTCTTGGGTTCTCTGAGCCATCAATGTTTTTCTAAACAACACTAGAGAAGGTGACGTGGAACTGCTCTCAAGAATGGGGCGTCAGGGCAATACGAGGCATGAGACATGCTCTGCTGGAGCTGAGCAGGGGCTTTGAAGAACTGCGGAAGCCATAATGTCCTTGGGGATTTTGAAGCAGCGAGGCATGGATTGACCTGATGATAAAGCATGTTGGTGTCAGTGATAGCTGTGAAGATTACCCCCTCCATCCTTCTCCGCCCTGTCCCAGTTTGATTTTACTTGCTTTTAGAAAGATTCTTTCGGGTTTTAGGGGAAAGTGTCAGAGAGCTGCAGACCCTCCAGTTCCCAGTATGAGCCCTGGAATAGCTGGGCCGTGCTCCTGAGTGTGTGTATTGGTCACTTGATGCTTTTGAGAGCAAAAAGTCGTCTTTTATGTCAGCGAGCAAAAGTATTGTAATCCAAGAGGCCCAAGATGTTGCTAAGTGGAAGAAAGGGAAGAGTGGGAGAGGTGCTCTGTCATGAGCCCCGTGAGGTGGCTTTATCTGGAGGACCTCGATCTCTTGGTGTTGGATGGTGAGCTGCCGAGTGCTGTAAAAAGAGCTGAATCACTTCTGTGGCGTGGGTTCCCACCTCCCTTTGAACCTGCACTCGAGAGGAGAGAGAGGGAATGAAGCCAGCTGGGCTTTCCTCATTTCTCTGACCTCCGGAGGCGTCAGGGATAGCCGTTGCCACACTCGGTTCGAGATCTGAAGATAAGACACGAAGCCGGGTGATGGCTGGACAGGATGGGACCTGGTTCCTTGCCTGCTCAGCTGGTAGAGATACCACTCACCGATGTCTCTGGGTGCAAGCTCAAGGTCGGTGGTGAACCAGCAGCACTTGTTACCAAGGAGCTGAATTGCAGCTGGTGACTGGGCTGAGCGAAGGAGGCAGCTTCATAGTTTCAGACTTTTTGAAACACTTCTCTTTGCCAAGCAGTGAAATTCCCGCTGCTTATCCTACCAGATCCATGATTTACCAGTAGCCTGCTTTTGTCCAGGCTGAGCCCGCTGTCCTCCCGAGCAGTGAAGGATGATAGAGAGGTGTCGTTTGTGATGCCGATCCCTCAGGTCTTCCTTATTTAGTCCAGGGATTGCATGAACAGGACCTACATGTTGGCTTTGGAACTGCAAAGCTGGGGCCAGGATGGAAGAGTGTTGGGTGTCTGCCCGGCTAACCGGGGTGTAGGGTTTCCCTTGGCCCCTGTTACTGCTTTCTTGCCTGAAGCTTAATTTTACCTTCAGGTAGAGTCTAAAAATTCTGGCTGGCTTTGAGGCGAGGCACTGGATTTGGTGCAAGGAAACAAGTGACAGCTTGCCTTGAACATCTCTGAGGAGCACCAGCCACGGAATTGGGTTGGTTTCTCACCAGATTGCACGAGTCTTGGCTGGGGACTCTAGGCTGCCCAAACTTTTATCTGCAGACACTGCAAGGAGCTTGAGGAATCCAGGCAAGCTACTGAGGCAGAATTATCTTCTGAGAAGCGTTCCCAGATGTTTCGGGAGTAGAACGAGGGGGTTTGGCCGTGCGTGACATCTGAGTCGGGCTGCGTGCTCAGAGACTTGACCGTAGCCGTAGCTAAGGTCTGGGTCGTTGTGATAAAAGTTGTTTGGGCCAGTAATAAGCCTCGAGGTTGTGCTTGCTAGCTGGCTTGTAATCACACCTGCACGCACAAATCCTTTTGAGAAGGGAAAATATGAGGCTTTTAACATTTTCTTTTTTTAATATATATTGCAGTGCAGAGCACTTTGATAACCCACTTCCCGAAGCTAAAATATGCTCCATCTAGTGAAGCCAAGTAGGTTTGTGAGTAGTTTTAATTAAAAAAAAATAAAAAAGGTTCAGTGCTTGATAAAATACCGCGACTTGGTCTCTCGAAATACAGTGCTGCTCAGTCTTTAATTCATATCCTCTCTGTTTGTACCAAGTAATAAATGAAAGCAGTTTCATGTCTAGTTAGAAAAGCCTGGCACAAGTGTGAGATCTTCATTGGCTCACCCTTCTGAGTGAAAAATTCCCCATCTGAAACACAGAGGAAAACCATAGCATCAGTGTCTTGATGTCTTCCATTCTTAAATTTGGATCTGTGGAGCTACATTAATAAAGTATAATTTTTAGGTCTTGGCTTCATCCGTGTTTACACCGGGACATGGAAGAAGAATACAAAAGTGCAGTGAGCACTTGAGTCCAAAAATGCGTTTCCCCTTTAATCGTTGAAGCTGTTCTGATAAGTTCAGGCACTCAAATTGTTATTGATCTGGCAGTCTTCCGAGAGTGGAGCCCCACAGTCTAATAACTCTGCCAAAAGCCATTAAAAATAAAACAGACGGCCAGTTTTGAGCCTTGGAAGAGCTTGGCATGGTGGAAATACTCTTTTTAAAAAGTGAATGTTTCAAAATAGCAACAAACGAATACCAGAGCTTGTAACTTTATCCCCCCCCCTCCGCCCCCCCGCAATGGTCCTAATTGTAAATAACAACAATTTGAGATCAACAAAAACCAACCGGGTCGTGTTTCAGAGGTTTTGCTGCTGATGCCGATTGCTTCTTATGCTGCTCAGGAAGCACTCGTATGGGTCATATGAGCTATTTCTTCAGCGGCCCTTTTGTAATTCCTAAATGTGTGCGTCAGCTGAGATCAACTCAGCCCCTTTCATCTTATAATGGAAATACTGTAACTTTATCCTTGGCTTTGAATAGAAAAGTAGTGATTGCTCCAGCTCACGGAGAGGTGTTGGGCATGAAATCCCTTTTAATATTTTCAACACTAAGTCTGCACAGGCCGTTGTACGCTAATCCTTTTATTTCCCGTAATCAACTTCATGGGTGATGTTGGCTGATTTGCTCTCATGTTTCTGACCTATAAAGCGTGGGAATGTTTGTCAAGTGATTCAGGATTCTCAGTTGTAAGCTGATACGCTCCCGAAGCATCGAGAAGAGAACAGCTGGTAGTTTATTTTATTTATCTTTGCATGTTTTGTTTGCATTGAGTGACCTCCTTACTTCTTTTCCTCTCTTCCCCCTCCCCTTTCTTTCTTCTAGGTCTATAATTAGCAGAAGATTTTTCTGTATAGTTGGCACACTATACCTGTATCGGTGTATTACAATGTATGTGACGACACTCCCAGTACCTGGCATGCATTTCAAGTGTTCTCCAAAGGTAAACTTCTTCTGGCTGCCCTTCCGTATTTTAATCTGCGGGTTTTCCCCTTGTCTCGCTGTTGCCAAAACTGTGAGCAGCGCTTATCTCCATAATTCATAGAATCCTAGACTGGCCTAGGCTGGAAGGGACTTTAGAGATCATTTAATCCAACCTCCCCGTCATGGGCAAATGGTTACTGCTATTGAAAATACCATTTTGGCGTGGGGGGGGTGTCCTTCTGCACATGGTCAGCGTCCTTCTCAGTGAATTTGGTGGGCTTTGAAGGTTGCTGTGGAGCAGTGCAGCCATTCCCATGCTTTTTGAAGCCCTAATGGACAGGATTTCTGTAGCGTTTTCAGCGTTTGTGCGATCGGCATCTTTTGATCTCGGCCGAAGCAGCTGAAGGCGTACGGCCGCATGTGACTCATTCGTTGCTAAACGCTTCAGCGTGTCAAATCCAAGTCTGATTTGTATTTGAAAATAGCCCAAAGCGATTTTTCTAAAGCTGTTGTCCCCACGTATGTCTTCGCCACAAGGATGTGGCACCTCTTCCCCGATCTAGCACTGACTCCCCTTTCTTGTCAGAGAGTCACGGAATTATTTGGGTCGGAAAGGACCTTACTGCCGAGGAATAAAACGGGCTTGCGAAAGCCGTGACTGAAACCAAGCTACTGCAATGGAGGTGCTTAGGCAAGACCTCTGTGGTCAGCCTTAAAGCGTATTTCTTGGGCTCAGGAGGGCGGAGGTGGGACAGGGCGGATGTTGCACCTCTCGCGCGTCGCAAAAGCAGGCGCAACGTGCTGCTCGCGGTAGGGAAATGCCGCCTAAGACAGTCGGGAGCAAGGTGCAGATATTAGACTCAAATGCTCCTTCTCCATATCGGTTCGTGCCTGTGCCCCTCCTGGGGCTGTTTGTGCTGTGGCTTGATTTCCCCAGGAGGAAGGGGAAGCAAAAGAGTACGTTCTGTGCAGCATCTCCTTCACGGATAGTTCAGCGGCTTTGCGTACACAGCCCTAAGTTAGACAACAGGTAGTAAAATCGCTGACGTGCAGGTAGTAAAGTCCTGATTTTGACTCTGCACACGTGCTGATTCGGTGAGGATTGCTGGGGTGTGTAAACAAAGGCGAAACGCTGCAGCTCCTCGGGGGAAATAAATCCAAGGAAATAAATCCACGGAAATAAATCCACGTGTTGTTTGACCAGGCGGAGCATTTGCGGAGCCACATGTGACTTTTGGATGGGCCCAGGTCTTTTGTAAAGAGGAACAAGAGGGAGAGGAGTCGATGTGGTGTTTGATCAGTCATCCCTTGTGAAATTAAAAAAAGAACGAACGCAGGGATTTATGGGCTGAAGTGAGTAACTATGCCGTTCTTGGAAATTTACGGCTTTGGCAGTCCATCTTATTGCTCCGGGAAAGACAAACTTATCTTCTATTGCCCTGATAAGACTAAGGATTAGCTGGGCTTTCTCAAAAGCTATAAATACACTGTTGGGAAAAGAACTCCAAAGCCTGCATTGAGTTATATATGATTGTGAAGAGTGGAAGGAACCCTTGAATTGCTGCACAGGCCCCGTTTCAATCTGCCAGAGATAAATAATTCCCGCTTCTTAACGCCAGAACAATCTAGGACTTGGTTGGCTTCGGTTTGGCTTTCCTAAGGCAAGCGGAAATATTCTCAGAAGTAGCCTCTGAGCCAGCGTCCCAGGTGGGAGGTGGGTCTGTAGAGCCTGTGCCGCTACAAACAAGATGAATTAAATGAAATTTGATTTCTTTTAGGGCGCGTTGCCTCTCGAACAGAAGGATTAAGAGATGTTTAGAGAACATGACAAAATTCCTAGCTATAGCTGGAGATAGTTTTAATTCTTTTTTATTGGTGAAGCTGGATTTTTTTAGAGTATTACTGAAGTTGTGGGTTTTCCACGGCTTGTTTTTCTGAACCTTGCTGTATATATGTGAAGGT